ATGAGGGCCAACAGGATGCCCCCCATCATTGCTGAGCCCACCATGGCCAGTGGGCCACTGCGGGCAGCCAGCACAGCCCCGGTCAGCGCTCCGCTGGTGATGGAGTTCCAGGGGTCTTCCTTGCCCCGCAGCCACACCAGGCCGCAGTCAGTGGTGGAGAACAGACCGCCCCACATCGCGAAGCTGCCTCCAATCTGGGGGGCTCGGATCCTCACAGCATTGACACTACCCCTCAATCGGTGCCGAATTCCAACAGGGGCATTTCGGAAGCCCTTGATGACCTGGAAGACTCCGCCACCGATGACCCCCATGGTGAAGGCTCCACCGCAGTCATCGACGATTCGCCACGGGCAGGGCTCCCGGGCGTACTCCTCCATGGCGGCCTGGGATCCTGGATACCAGGGAAAGAACAGAAGGCTTAGAATTATAGAACCTGACATTTAGTTCCGGGTCAGCCACTTATTGGTTGCATTTGGGCAAATAACTTACTGTGGATAGTTCTCATATATGAAAATGGAATAATTACTGCACAGGGTAATTGAGAAGATCAAGTAAGATTATGTATATATGTAATATGCATTGTAAATTTAAAGCTGTACATATTATCATTATATATATTATATGTTATTGCAATAATGTTACCATTACTTAACAAGGAGTACATTTGTAGATGTCTCCCTCTGGTCTCATGATTACTACAAAGGCGCCAATAAATTATCTTCTTCAGTGTCTTGCTTATTACTATTAACTCTGGTAGGTACCTCGATTCCTAGATGAAATGTCACCTCACAATGCCTATAAGACTTAGTGGAGTAGAGATTAAAATGTCTGAAGAGACCAAACTCAAAGCCACAGCATAAAGGTTTCAGAAACAACCCACAGCTAGTAATTAAAGGTCTTTATGAATCAATTTGATTTATTTACATGGTAAGTGACTGTAGATGGTTATTTGCATAACCCATGTGTCCCAGACTTCTAGCATAAAAATGCTGCTTTTTTTTCCTATTTTTTATGTTACCACAAGCAACGTTTTTGCTCAACTTTTCCATACTTTACAACAGGAATCTTCTTTTCTCCAATGTCCAGTTGCACTTTCTCCCTGGCTGCTGACCTTTCTAGCTGTCTGCCCCAGGTGTTTTCAGCTGTCACTAACAGTCTCCTCAAGGACTTTTCAGCTCTTCCCTAAAGTCAACAAGTGTCTT